AATCATACGATAAAATTATAATTATTATTGATCTTAAACCAATAAATGAGTTGATCAATAAAGAGCTTGAGCTCAATAAATCAAAAAAATATATGAGATAGTACTTTGAAAAAGTTATTCGAGCTCGAACATGATACCATTTTTTCGAGCCGAACTCAAATAACCTAATACTCGACTAGTCTCAGTTGGTTTACACTTTCCCCTACCTACAACGGTTGATACAAGGCCTATGTTGATGATGCATTTAGTATGGTGTTTATCTATACTATATTATAAAGTATTTAACAAAAAAATTAAAAACCATTCTTTATGCATGAAATACTGTTTATTAATGCATATTACTTAAAATTTAAGATGACAATTAATTGTATGTAATTACAACTTATTAAAGCTCTATTTTTGAATTCGTATGACTAATTGCAGATAATCATAATCAAATACATGATAAACATCTTATTTTAAATATAAAAAATCTAAGATAAAATTAAGATAATCATTATCTTTATAAAAATTATATTGTTAAATCAAGTATAAAATTAATTCGTTATTAGACCTAAATTAAATTATAATAAAAAAATCGCATAAAAAGAAATTGTACAAAAAACGAAAACTTTTAAATATTTAATTTGATATTAATATCGATATATTTTTTCAAAATTTTATGATATCTTCAAATTTATTTTTATTCAAAAATAATTTTTTTTAAAACCACATAAACCGTATTATATCAACAAAGACAAAAAAATAAAACGAAACATTAAAATGAAGATGTATTTCGCTGCATTACATAAGTAAACTTCTAATAGTTAATAATAATTTATATTTAATGTTATCAATATTTTTCCAAAAACTCAAATTGTTAGTAATATGTTTTTTTTATTTCTTTTAAAGTTCTATAAATACATAATTACTCCAATTATTCACTCTATAATGCTTACAGTCATGAAAAAATTATTGATTATGTGTTTTTCTTGATAAAATATGAATCATTATAGAAATAAGAGTTTAGATGGTGATTTGGGTGATACTTATGATATGGGAAGTGATAATAAACCAAGGGTCGTTTATCAAATGCTTATCGGTAGGAGAAATTATCCTCGTTTACTTATCATGTAACATTCTCAATAATTAAAAGCGTATTGTTGGTAAGCATTTTAAACCCGGTAAGCACCAAGTAATTTCCTTCACTTACCGAGTAAGACTCTCGATCCTCGTTATGCCTTTAACTGTATAATATTTCTGGTCTTTGTTATGCTCGACCGACAAGATAATTGATATCGATAAGCGATATTAGTTTTCCAAGAGATGAAAATTCTAGACGTTTTCTCAAATTTGTAGGAAGGTTTTAGGTTTACTTTATAGTTTTAGCCTAGGACAAATTGCATGAAAAAACAACGTACTTTAACCTGATTCTTATTTTGGGTAACGTGCTTTCAGAACTTTCATTTTGGTACTTAAGATGTAAAATTTTAAACATTTAAGTATCCGGGTAACCGGTTGATGTGGCGAGTGATGGGATGAAATTGGGTTGAATAACAACAAATAATACTAAGTTGGATACCACATCACTCGCCACATCAGCATAGTAACCAATTAATGCTTCAACCGGTTACTCGGGGTACTTAAATGTTTAAAACTTTACATTTTAAGTACCAAAATAAAAGTTTCGAAAGTACGTTAACGAAAATAAAAATCATGTTCAAGTACTAAAAATTGATATAACAAAAACATTTGTTTTAAGATGTTTCAAAGGATGTCATATATAGCTGAATAACATTGCTAAGTTATGTTAATGTGTGACTTAACATTTTTTTTCGTTTGTTTTTGTTAAGCCACAATCAACGTTGAAAATCTGCTAACCAATATTTCATTTTTAGTACGGTTATAATTTCACATATGTTGATAAAGACATATAAAATGTATTGAACGATAACCAGTGGTGGATCCAAAAACTTTTATTATTTTGGGGGCACCCGTTAAGAATGCCAAAAAAAAAAATCTGAAACCGAATAACTCTTCCAAACCAATACGATTTTGGGTTATTCGGTTTTCGTCTTAAAAGTCCACTTTAATTGAATAAAAATATAACTTATTCATTAGTATTATAGCAAACAAAACAAGAGAAATAAAATGAATTTTAACGGGTTGACACTCAGAAGTTAGAGGAATTAGAGTTTAATTGATCAAATAATGACTCCTTCAAGTAAGAGTTCTAAATTGGATAACAAGAATTAGAATTAAGGCTAACTTTTATTTGTTCTGAACCTACTCTTGGGGTTTGTTGGGGGCATGTGCCCCCTGCCCCTTTGTTGTGAATCCGCCAATGACGATAACGACCTTTTAACTACAAGCAAAAATTTCGAAGTTGGGTTAAATGCAAGTTCTGGCAAAACGTACATTTCGTTCGACAGAATATTTTTTAGGACATGAATTCCATAGATGGGTTTGGAATTGAAAGGATACAAATTTTTTGTTATGTTTAGTCTGTAAGATTTAGAACGGGGTTAATTTCGTTTTTTATGAATAATTTATAAAAATAAATGATAAATAATTATGAAAATAATTAAATTACCTTTTATTAATTGATTATTACAAAATTAATGTTTTTAACATATTATAAAATATTATTATAAGCAAATTCTATGAATCTTGTGAAATACCAACTAAACTATAGAATTTCTGAATTCAATGTTTATTGAATTTCATTGAACTCATTGGTAGGGCTGTAAACGAATCGAACGAACACGAACAAAGGTTTGTTTATGTTCGTCCGTTTAATTTAACCGAATAACGAACGAACATGAACGGTAAATGAACGAAAATATTTATGTTTGTGTTCGTTCGTTTAGAAATCAGGTGTTTTCGTGTGTTAACGAACGAACATAAACGAACGAATATAAATGAACGAATGTTCACGAACACAACTGAACCAACGAGACTCTTGTTCATGTTCGTTCGTTTAACTAAATGAACAGAAAAAAATTGTTCATGTTCGTTCATTTAAATAAACGAACTTCCCGCCGAACGATTCGTTGAACGTTCGATCCGTTTACAGCCCTACTCATTGGATCATAACAGAATTAAATATCATATCCCTCCAAATCTTGCAAACCAAATAAACCCTAAAATTAAATGCAACATCTTCTCATTCAGCCAAAACACATGTGAATATTATCATCTAAAACTACAATTTGTTAAAAGATTTTGGTAGCGTTCACATTAAAGAAAAACATAAGATTGTTTTGATTTACCATCAAATGTATAACTTCTAATACACAAATTACAAATTAAGGGGTCGTTTACCAAACGCTTATCTAGGATAGCGTTTACTAAGTTACATTACTTCACCGGATGAATATGGTAAGGGGCAAGAATCTTACCCGATAAGAGTTAGACAAAGACCAAGAGTCTTACCCGGTAAGTGAGGGAGACGACTCTTATCACGGTAAGCGCTTACCGGGTAAATTGTTGCATGCGATGTTGTTTTGGTTGATTAAAATCTTACCTGTTAAGTAAATAATAGTGTTAAATTTTACAGGTAATCACTTATCGGGTAAGTATTTGGTAAACGGCCCTTAAGTGTTATTTTTTTTTTTGTTAAAGATCGGGGATCAGTCCTAACAAAATGTATATGATACGAAACACTTAGAAGAAATTCGTGCTCACTTTTTTGACACAACTTACACGTTCGACCACACTACAATTGTAAAGGTTTTCAAGATGGATAAGATCCATCCGTACAGATGAAATCCATCGTTGAAAGTCTGTACTTTTGTAGATAAAGTTATTACTGACCGTTCTTTGACGACTATCCCTGAGGGTCGCCATCATCGACAGACCTTAGGCACCAACGACAAAACATCCAAGACGAATTACCAACACGAGCAGCACTGACGGGTTGCTGTTTAATTCAATTCTATTGTTTTCTATCTGTACTTTTATTAAAAATGATAATTAATTATTTTCGTGAAGAAAGTTTTTAAACCGCATGAATTATTAATTATTATCTACGTACTTAAAGCATTTGCACGTTGCATACAAGATTGCATTAAATGCAACCATCAAAATATTTGTATATCTATCGACGTTGGTATGTGAGAACTCGACGATTCAAACTCACCAAAGAAAACAACCACAGACATTGACACATGTGTGAAAGGCTTATATCATATCAAACCACAAGGGTGGTGTCTGATTGGTTTGAGTTTGGCTTCAAAGGTATCATGAGGTTACAGGTTCAAATCAAAGTAGGAATAAAAAAACCCTTTGTGGCCACGTAGGTTCAAATGCGGCGACTCAAGGCTATCTGCAAAGTAGGTGGTCATCCTGTGATTAGTCAACTCGCATAGCGGGTTGGATATCCAGATCTTTTTTCCTATACAAATCCATGTATGATGAGGGGACCAAATTTGTGCTGAAGTGACGTGTTTTAACGACAGGAATTCGAAAATCCCAAAACTGAGGCTTTAAGTTAAGGGTGTGTGTAGGCAAATAAATGAAGGTTGAAATATCAACAGACGTCTATTATTAAATCCAGTTAACTCGACAATTTATTGTTTCTCGACTTTCGTCACAAAACTTCTAGTTATCAAGTACTAGTTCTCTATTAATCTACCTATGTTCACTGATGAATTGAACTGCTTTTTTTTTTTTTTTTCTTTTTTGCGGTAAACACTAACCCGGTAAACGTTTGACAAAAGTATATGATGACTTTGTCCAAATACAAAACAGATAATTGGTTCCATCCCAACTCCTCAGCTAGTTTCAGCCATTGATTGAGCCAAAAAAATGTCCACTCATATTGGTATTCTTGAAGACTGGTTTCGTGTGAAATCAGTTATGGTTTTCAATAATCAACTTTTTACTTGAATTTAGTCATAAATCTGAAACTGAATTATGATAAATTCAAATTTTCAAATAAATAAAAAACTAAATGTCGTTTTATAATATAGTGTAGATAAAAACAGCCAACTTTAAATAATCTACAAATGACTACACGTCTAGCCCGCAAGTACTTCCCATATCAAATCGGGATCATAAGAAGGCATTCCCGCCAACGAACAACCATCTAACACCACGTCCTCTGCCGCCACCGTCGTTGTGGTGGCGGCAATCAGCGGCAAGTTGTCGGGAAAAGAACTCGTGGAATTCTCTCCCTTCAAAAACCCATCCTCCAACCACCCCGTATTACTCCCGCCAAAATTCTCACCACCACCACCACCATAAACCGCCGCCGGAACCCTCTCTCTCACCTCCCTTTTCTTACCTTTCTCTTTCATCACCTTCTGATAAATCGCGTGAATCTTATCATCCACCGCTGTCTTCAAAGCATTCAACCTCCGCCAATCTCCGATCAACCCCACCACAGCCGCCGAATCTTGAAAATTCAGACGAGCATGTTCCCCACGAATCTTATACGCCGCCCGATCATAAGCAAACGCCGCCATCTCCGCGGTCTCGTAAGTTCCCAACCACACCCTCATCCGATTATGCGGCAATCGGATCTCCGCCACCCATTTCCCCCAATGCCGCTGCCTTACGCCCCGATACAGCTTCTTTTTCTTGTTAGGATTGATCAAATAGTGACGAAATCCAACTGGGTTTGTAGTTATTTGCGATTTCGAGTCCAAATTTCCAGATAACTTGAAGAATCGATCTATCTGTTTCAGGTAAACTGAAGAACCAGATTGTTCTTGAAGATCAGGGATCGCCAATGATGACGATGATGAACGATTCGAGAAAATTGAATCCAAATTGTTGGAATTCATACCTGTGAAGATGAAATTAGGGAATGAAGATCGAAATCTATCGTTGTTGGTATTTCGATCGAAGGAATTTGGATTGCATTCGTTCATGATTTTGAAAAAAATTGGGGGAAATTTTTTGAGAAACAGGGGGGAAGAACAGAAATGTGATTTGGTGCAAGTTAGCAAGCAGCAACAGTTGGTGTGTGAATCAAGGGGTATTTATGTATTTATAAGCAATATGTGTCTCTATATTCATGTTTAATAGATTTTTTATTTTGGAGATTACAACATTAATTGCGTAACAATGGGTCCCAATTCGATAGAAAATGAGGTTAGTGAGTTTTCATATAAGCCTCAAGTTGTGGATTACCAAGAGCATTTTTAACAGATTCTCTAAAATGGAGATTTTGAATATTTTTGCTTCTACTGATTTTTCAAATTCTTTGCGAAAATTGAGAAATTAGAAGAGAGATGATGAAAATCTCCAAATTTAGGAAATTCTCCAAAAATTTATTACTTAGGAAAGAGAAATGATTTTTTATTCTTCCTACCAATGATAATTCTTGAAATTAAATGTTTAGAGACGGAAATATATTTTATTGATTGTATTATATATATATATATATATATATATATACTATATTATAAAACATTTAACAAAAACTCTAAAAAACCATTTTTATGCATGAAGTACTGTATATTGATGCATATATTACTTAAAATTCAAGGTTACTAGTAATTATGCATAAGTACAACTATTAAAGCTTCATATTTGAATTCGTATAATTAATTGCGGATAAACAAATCAAATAGAGGATAAATATTTTATTTTAAAATATATAAAAATCTAAAATATAATTAGGATAATTATCGGGTTCTAACAAAATAACTAACTATTATATTTATAAGAAAATTAAATTATTAAACAAAAGTATAAATTAGTTAGTTATTGAACCTAAATTAAATTATAATAAAAAAATAAACAAATAAACAAAAAATAAGAATTTTAAATAGTTAATTTGATAATTGATAAATATTTTTTTTCAAATTTTTATGATATTTTCAAATTTATATTTTATTCAAAAATAAAAACATCATTGTTTTTTTCAAAATCACATAAGACCGTATTATAACATCGACTAAGATAAATAATAAAATAAAATATTAAAATCAAGATGTATCTTGCTACATTGCGCGAATACCCTTCTAGTATGTATATAAGTGTGTGTGTGTGTGTGTGTGTGTGTGTATATATATTTGATTAATCTGGATATCCAGCCCGTTATGCCAGCCGACTAATCTCAGGGCGACCATCTGCTTTGCTGGTAGCCCAGAGTCACCGTATTTGAACTTTCGTGGTCACAAAAGAATTTTTTTTTCTCCTTGAATTTGAACCTGAGATCTTCATGCATTTTTGACATTTGAAGCCCAAACTCAAACCAATTAGACACCACCCTTGTGGTTTGTATTGAAATATTTTAATAATATAAATAACATTACAACCTTCAAAATGGAAAAGCTGTCTATGCTTTCTCAATTTTGGAGAATTTATTGAAGCAAATTTTTTTTTCAAAATCTCAATTTTATCATTTTTAGATAATTTGTTGGAGATGTTATTATGTTTTGCTTTCACGAGTTCAAATAACGGAAAAAATAAGAAAAAGGCAAAATGCATGAAAATAAAACCTAAGTTTGAGTTAATTCCTATTTAATGTATTGAAGAATTTTTCCCCTTAATTAATGTAACTAACAGGGTAAGAGCGAGACAAGAACCAAAAGTCTTACCCGGTAAGTGAGGACGACGACTCTTACCACGGTAAGCATTTGTTGGGTAAATTGTTGCATACGATGCCGTTTTGGTGGACTAAAATCTTACCCGATAAGTAAATGATAATATTAAATTTTACCAGTAAGCACTTTACCGAGTAAGTGTTTGATAAACGACCCATAACTTTCAAGTTTTTCTATTTTATGATCAAAATGACCTTGTATATCGCTTTGAAGTACGTGAATTACCATGACGATATTTATATTATATTTACAGCCTTTTTTATATACTTCTTATAAAAATTCAATCAACTGAACTTGTCTCGTTCAACACACAGTGAAACGTTATTTCAAAGACAACCTGAACGTTAGGAAATGTACCGCTTTTCATCCTTTCTGTTTCGAAATTACAAGATAACCATTGTAGTATGAAAAAAACGTTAGGATTTGATCCCTAACTTTAACGATCTTCAAAAGTTCCGTTAAATAAGAAACATTTTCGTCCTTTAACCGATTTTTTTAGTCTTTTACACAATCAAAAACCGAATGGACCAAAACCAAAAAATGGATTTTGATTGGATAAAAACAAAAAAAAATCGATAAAACGACAAAAGAATGCTCCCCATTTAACAGAATTTGTTAACGACTGTTAGAGGGAGAGACCAAAATCCGAACGTTTTCGCAAAACACGATAGCCATCTTATTAGTTTCGAAATTTTAGGGACGAAAAGTGATATTTTCGACAAACCACAAGAACCAAATTTATAGTTTACTCCAAATTATACTACCTTAATAACTGTTCATATTTCTATTTTAGGGGTTGTTTACCTAATTTTTTATTAAGTCTTGTACGGATAAATTTGTCTGTCTAGATAAATAGGTGTTGTTGTTTACTTTTTTTTATCTGAATCAACAGTTTGAATAACATAAATAACTGATTTACGCTCCATTATTAATTATTTGAACATAAAAAAAATCATAAAGAGACCGAAGATAGGGTGTCTCATATGGGAAGGATGTGGTGCTTTAAATAAGGGGTAGGGGTGTCATTTTTGTGGCCGAATGTGAACAACACATCATTTCTATTTGTGCTATTAAGCCATGTTCTGTACAAATAAGCCGTAAGTAAACAACCCAAATGAGATGTGCGAATAAGCCAAATATACCAATAAGCCTAATTAAGCTGCAAATAAACAGTCACTTCAAAATAAATGAATACTTTTCTAATTTATCATTAATTATTAGATGTAAAATTAATTACTGTATTTTTCAATCATGAACATTTATTTTGAAACGAAAAGAGTACGAGTATTTCTCATTATATTAAATCGTTAATAAATACATGGGTAATTTCGTCCAATCACATTTCAGTCTCCACGTGGACCACATCAATCAAAACCCATGCTTTTCTCATTCAATGGGAAAAGTGAGATACAAAATTTTAGTCAACATAAAAAACGCAAATAAATAAATAAATATTTTAGTTTTTATTTTTTTTTAGTATTTTTTTCTTTTTAAAAAAAAATAAAAAATAAATAAATAATATGTTTTTTTATGTCAAAATGAAATCGAAAACGCTGAAGATAAATAGTAATTCAAGAGTTCATTTGAGATGATTAAAGGGTTGTTTGTTTATCTCTTAATAATTTTATTAAGAGGCAGTCTCTGAATCGTTAAAAGTTAAATCTTGTTTTGACAAAAAAAGTATGTCTCTAAAACTCTTTGAATGATTTTGTATTTTGGGCCTCCCTTAACCATTCAGTATCATAATTTCATTCTGAATAATTACCAAACAATTATATTTCATTTTAAACTATATTATAAGAGTCTCATTATGACTACTTAATCATTTTGTATCAAACCATTCAGCAATTGTCAAACAGCCCCTAAGTATTTATTTGAAGATAAAAACAACTATCAAATAATAAACAAGACCAATGCTTACCACACAAAAGTTTAAAAGGCAACTTGTCTTCTAAATCCAAGTTTGGCATTTCTGAAGTGAACCGAAGCTCAGAATGCTATACGCCTTCTGAACTTATCTTCACTCCCCTCCAGTAGAACTTTCCACGGGCAGGGCCGGCCCTGGCCACGTGCAGCCCGTGCGGTCGCACAGGATATCAAAGCTTAAAGGGGCATCAAGTTGTCATCTATTACTAGTTTTGGGTTTAATAATTTAGGAATTGGACAACTGAGTTTTAACTATAAAAACATGTCCAATGCTTAGTAGTGTTGAATACTGAATGCAAATCGTGAACCAGTTAACGCTAACATTCCAACAACTCAATCTAATTTCTATTGTTCTTCAAAATTCGACTATCTCGATTTTCAAGGCATGATATTCTCTTTCCAGCCGATTAACGGTCATGAAATTAGATTCAAGAAATCAAAGATGGAAATCTCGAATGACTGATTTCTACTGTTGATTTCCACGGGACCCCAGTTTATAAAATTTCTGGATCCGTCACTGGCACTGCTAGAACAGTTGCATGCCATTATCTTTATTTAACTGCGCTATACTATTAAAATGGTACATACAATTCTTATATCATTGGAAGTTTCATTTTAACAAATAAGAAGCGATGGTTGCTGCTTCTGCTGTGTTCGTATTCGTATCCATACGAATCTTTTATTTCGTATACAATATTTTTATTTGACTTCTACGATTAAATTAATTAATTGGCAATAAGTTCTAATGATTAAACGTTGTTTTGGACATTAAACACGGAAGGTATTACCAAAAAACTGGATGATAAATATTTGGTTCTGAGGGTCCATAAAATCGTAATGCAATCTCCTTTGAGTATCGGGTCCCAATCATATTATACTGTATCTTCAATCTATTCAGGAATTGTTTCCAGTTCAAAAGGTAAGTCAAATCACTTGTCACATCAACATGGTAACAGGTTAATGCTTCAATCGGTTATCGAAGTACTTAAATGTTTAAAATTTTACATATTAGGTAGCAAAATAAAAGTTTTAAAAATACATTTCCCAAAATATGAATCAAATTAAAGTAGATTATTTTTTCATATAATTTATATTTATGTTTTTTAATTAGAAAAATCAATTCAAATCCTAAAAAAATCCCCAATTTTATATGAATGGGACCCACACCCATTTTCCAACTTATGGGAAAAACACATGTGCTTTTTTATTTGGAAGCCAAGTCGCATTTCATTTAATGCTCTTAGGGGGTGTTTGGGTAAGCTTATTTAAAACAACTTATGTTTTTTTTGTAAAAGTGCTTATTAACTTATGCGGTATCAAACTGGAGTTTTGTAAAAAGTGTTTGGATTAGCTTATAGCGGTACCAAACTGCAATAAGCTGATAAGTTGTT